GGTGTCTCACTGCCACCCACTAAATGTGGCGGGAGGAGCCTGTTTACTGTCCAGATGTCTCACTGCCACCCACTACATGCGGTGGGAGGAGTCTGTTTACTGTCCAGCTGTCTCACTGCCACCCACTACATGCGGTGGGGGGAGCCTGTTTACTGTCCAGGTGTCTCACTGCCACCCACTACATGCGGCGGGACGGGCCTGTTTACTGTCCAGATGTCTCACTGCCACCCACTACATGCGACGGGAGGGGCCTGTTTACTGTCCAGATGTCTCACTGTCATCCACTACATGCGGCGGGAGGACTGACACCCGTTGTCGGACCGGACACAGGCCTGGTGCCCGGTCTGACCTGGTAGAACAACTCATCAACCCGCTATCCGAATTATCGACGACTGCTGACATCAGCGCGGACGCTGTAGGACCAGAACCGTGCGATGCAGGCCGAGCCGAGTGGTTGCGTGGTTAACTTGAAATCTGTCTAGGAATAGGCCGTGATAGCAAGGGCTGCAGCGAAGGCCAGGCTATAACGATTCGGGGTGTTAATTTGAGCAGCAGTTGTTAAATAGTGATGCGCCTAACAAGACCTGCTTGAGCCTAACTAGATAATGTGTGAAGCATATTTACCTGACTCACTTGGTACCAATTCCTGTTTTTACCGGAAGCCTTATATTACGATGTGATGATTCTGCAACGTTTTGACCTCATCACGACCTTTACGGAAAGCGAGTACCCGCCAGTATCCCTTCAATTGTGTTTGGGCTGTGTCTGTTGCATTGCAATCGAAGACAAAACGCAAAGATGGCGATATTTCAGTTCGGTTAGGTTTGACTGACGTACTGCTTTTGAAAACCACGATTTTTCGCACGTCCGAGGAAAAAATATACACGGTCTGTGTAGCCCCAATCTGTTCATGTCGACAAGCGCACCTCTTGAAAGTGTATTTGCCGACATGGCCTTGGTGATCCCATCGACGACGCTGTACAAATGATGCATGCTGCGCTTCACGCCTCCTCGCAATGTTATGCCAACTCATCACAAGAGGGTCGGCTTTAGTCGCGGGCTCAGTCAGGAAGCTCGAGATCAAGCCAGATGTTTTTTCGTCACGGCAGTGACCTGACGTCATGTAGAAATCATCAGGCTGAAAAAGGCTGAAAAAGTCAACGCCTTCTTCCACGATCACGTTTTCTGGCCTTTTCAGCGCGGCCAGTTGAACAAAAGGGGAAATATGCTAACATTGTCCTTTTTCAGCGTTTGTTTGATCTGAAAACCTTTTTCGAAACTTGGTTTGTCGCGTAGAATAAATAACAAAATCTGGAGGTTAATTGATTTAAGTTTTAGAAAACTCCGTGCCCTTTCGCCTCAAAACAAGCCAAAGATAAAAGTAAAAAAGGAGCGTACTACAGTCGCAGGCTTTCGGCAAGCCCGAATCGGATAATCATTTGATGACATTCAATTACTGTCCCACGGTCGGTGGAAGATGCTGGGCTGTTTATGCACCGGGTACGGATCCCGGAGAGATAGTTTAGCCCCACTAAAACATAAAACGGCTGGAAGCTGGCCCGCAGGCATCATCCTATGTCCGGGGTGGCCGTACTGCAACGTGCCGTATCCCGTAAACCAACCCTGTGCAGAACTACCCGGCGAAAGGGCGGGGCCAAAATTATTTGCTGAATTAGGCGACACAGTTTGGGTGTTAGGTTCAGGGTACACGAACAAATTTCCATTAGCCAACGCTCTAAATCCAAAGCCACGCATTCAAGACGCTCGAAATAGATCAGTTAAAATCAAAGTCCCAGTCGAATGATTGAATGATTTTAGTCGCTCGCGTGTCGTTGACGGTGACTGTTGTTCCGTTTACAGGCACCATGCGGCTGCTTGCGGCCATGGTCGTGCTGCTGGCAGCGCATGCGCGGGCGGCCGAGGAGCGTTGTCCATGCACTCCTAGGCCTCTGTGTCCGGGCCACTACGGCACATCGCCGCTGGACGTGCTGCAGTTCGGCGTGCTGCGGCCCTGCCCACGCTTCGGCTACTTCCGCTGCTGCCGCCAGGGCGGCGGCAGCGGCGCTGCCGGCGCGCTGCCCCGCCGCCGACGGCCGGCCGTGCACGTGGTGGAGGCCGACCGTGTCACCGACGCCGGGCAGGTATGTGTCGCGGTGCTAAGAGGCCAGATAGGTACATTGAAATCAGTGTGGGATAGTTCTAAGTTTCATGAGGTGAGTGGAGGAGCGTGCGCACTTCATTTGTGCAATCTGCATGCATGATTTATTCACCTCGCAGCAGTTAACCAGCCTTTTCTTTCGTCTGTGCGTGGCAGGCGTGATATGCAAAAACAAGATCCTCTGTTTTCATTTCAGAACGAAATCAGTCCCCGATCACCGTCAGCGTTTACAATTCCACTTGAAGTAGAGGAAGACAAGACTGTTTTCAATTCCGACCTAGTCCCTCTAAAGGACCTGAAATTGATATTCCAAGACGTGAATCAGGTAGACCAGCTAGCTAACTCAAAAACCTCAACTTTGGTTTTCGAAACGCGTCCAGAAGCACCCCTCGTGACGAGCCAAGAACAGGGGCCGACCTCGGAGCAGTATGCTCAGGATGTGCTTCAAGTCGAACAGGAATCTGAGCCTGGGCCTTCTTTCGATGAGGTCAGAAGAAATGCGCTACGTATCACGAATGCCAATATCGAACACGCTTTAACCGTCGCCAAAGTCGACGAGGCGCTATCTATCGGTGACGCTACTGACAGCGAAGCGGTGTCTCCAGACAGCGAACACGTCGGCGGCCAACTGGAAATCATCATTGCTGACACTGGCCACGCCTCAGCTGACGCCGCAGCCCACGCGGAGCCCCCTTCCGTGTCCGATGTTCAATCGAGCGCCTTTGTCTTGGACCTGGACGCAGCAAGAGACAACCCGCGTCTCGTGGCATTCCGCGTGCGGCCGCCCGCGCGCCCCTTCTCGGGCGTGTTGCGGCCGCCGTGTGGCTGCTACACGTGCGGCACGTGTCCGGCGTCAAACGTGGCGGCAGCGCGCACCACCCCACTGCCGTGCTTCGCCGGCTACGAGCCGTGCTGCTTCCCGGAGCAGCCCTGGCCCGACTTCATGCCGAACGACTCCGACGTGGTGGCCCCATGCACACCGCCCGGCGCCTGCACGCGGCCGTACCATTCGTCGGTGCTGGATGTGGTGGTGTTCGGCCCGCTGGAGAAGTGCTTCCTGGGTCAGGTGCGCTGCCTCGACCCGCTGCTGGTGGAGGCGGGGCTGATGGCGCCGCAGCCGCCGCCGGTGTCCGCCGCCGCCTGCCCGCACGCCGCCGCCGCGCCAGCCTCCGACGCGGAGGGCGAGGACGGCCCCGGGGGCTTCGGCGTCGCTTCGGTGACGGAGGAGGGCGGGGGGTCGGTGGAGGGGCCGCCGCGCGCGCCGGTACGCGTGCCTACGTTCCAGGGCTTCAGGACCGTTCCCGCTGGTCACGCAGAGTCTGGAAGGCCACCTGGTACCGGCCATGCCCCGAATCCGCTAACAGAGTCGGATTTTGCAGGAGTTATCATCGGGTCAAGACACGTGCCGACTTTCAACGACCACTATCCTCCACCCAGCGCGGATTTCCTTGACATGCCGTTTCAAGACGAGATCACGACTGCTATCCCCATTGTACGTCTGGGCAAGCAGCATTTCCCGTCCGCTTCCAACGGCGGAGACTACAATGATCCACCATCCCATCCTGGAGCCCAAAACTCGGGCGCTGACCTCAATCCCGACCCTGTCTCACAGCTTGACGCTCCCGTACCTGGACCGGAATTGAATGGCGCACCAACCGATCTTTACCAGGCGGAATCCACGTTAAGCTTTCGCCAAAGTGGAGCCCTCTCCGCCGCTGGTACCAGCCAAGATGACGTACACTTTGCTGACCTGGTCGAGGTTAAATCCTTAGCGAAATCTGATCTTGGCGAGGTTCAATCCCTTCCTGAACCCGATCCAGATAAGTCTGAATCGTTAACTGCCTTCGATCTGAACGGGGCTGACGTTCCTCAGGCTTTCGATCCTAACGAGACCAAAACCTTTCCGAACCCTGAAGTGGACGAGCTTGAACCACTTCTGGACGTGGATCAGGACGAAAATGGACTGCTACAAGATTCTGGTGAAGATGGGACTGAACCTTCGACGACCGAGGAGCTGGACGAGACTGTATCTTCATTTGATTCCGATCCAGAAAACTCCACATCCATAAAGTCCACCTCCGAGTTCTGGGCGGGATCCGGTGCTGGTGAGGTTCAATCCCTTCCTGAACCCGATCAAGATAAGGCCGAATCGTTAACGTCTTCCGATCTGAATGATGCTGACGTTGCGGGAGCTTTCGGTCCGGCCAGGACCAAAACCTTTGTGAACCCTGAAGTGGACGAGCTTAAGCCACCTCTGGACGTGGATCAGGACGACAATGCGCTGCTACGAGGTTCCGGTGAGGACGGGACTGAACCTTCGACGACCGTGGAGACGGTCGAGACTGTATCCTCAGTAGATTCCAATCCAGAAAACACCACACTCATGAAGTCCGCTGCTGAGGAAGCTAAGCCTGCTGCAGGTGCTGATCTGGAGGGCGCGGAATCCACGCTGGTTTATGATCTGGATGAGGCGGAATCCATATGGAACTACGATTTAGATGCAGCTGAATCAATGCTGACCTCCGATCTGCATCAGGCTAAATCCCCGGCAAAACAGCATCGGTTCTCATATCTACCCCTACCTTCCGATGTGACCGACAGCGATACCCCCCACGCCGACCTGGACGGCGCTGAATCCATGTTGGCCTCCGATCTGCATGAGGCTAAGTCATCGGCAAATCAGCATCGGTTCGCATATCTACCCCTACCTTCCGCTGTGACCGACAGCGATACCCCCCACGCTGACCTGGACGGGGCTGAATCCATGTTGGCCTCCGATGTGCATGAGGCTAAATCCTCGGAAAAACAGCATCGGTTCTCATACCTACCCCTACCTTCCGATATGACCGACAGCAATACCTCCCACACTGACCTGGACGGCGCTGAGTCGCTGTTGAGCGCGGTGGGGGCCTCTACTCACCATCACCATCACGACCCGGAGCACCAGCACCAGGAGCACCAGGAGCACCAGGAGCACCAGCAGCACCGGGAGGCCAATCAGCATGCTGAGAGCGACGACCACCGTCTGCCCTCGTCGGGCCTGCACGTGGTTCCGGCTCCGGACCTCACCCTGGGGCTGCACCAGCTGGCTGCCGCTCTGTCTACTGACCTGGGCGCGCCTCAGCGCAATCTGGACGCACTCGGTGATGCTGGACAAGAGATACAGCACGATCCCGAAACACCCGCCGCCCAAACGCCGGAGCCCCGCGCAGCCGACCTTCGGCTGGCGAGCACGTACCTCCCAGTGCCCGTCAGTGTTGATCGCGTGGTGGTCAGTGATGGCGGTGCTGCAGGTGATGTCCCAGAGGCGACGCTGCCGGTGGTGTCCGACTCCGCGCTCACCCACCCTGACTCGGTGAGTCTCGAGGTCGGTCATGACGGCGGCACGGACTTGCGCATTCCGATCCCGTGCCGGTCGCCCCCCGCCTGCCGCCGACAGTACGGCAGCAGCGCCAGGGACTTCGACGTGCTCGGCTTCCTGCCGGCCTGCCCGCGCGGCCAGCGCCGCTGCCTCGACCACGTACTCATGGTGTACTCGCGCTTCGCTGATGACGAGGAGGTGCTGACTGGCGGCTCGAACGCCTTCGTGAACAGCGGATCCGTGACCGACGTCGAGCGGACACCGGCGACGGGCGAGCGCTTCCCCGCGGAGACTGGCACTGTCACGGCGTCAGGCGGCTTCAGCGGGGCGTTCCGCGTCTGCAGCCAGCATGTGAAGGACGGCGTCAGAGCCGCGGAGAGTGGCGAGGTCGCGGGCGCTGCTGCAGCAGGCGCAGGGGATGACCTGTCGTCTGAGCCGGTCCAGTATGGTGAGACGTCTGTCACCAGTGGCACCGAGAGTGGAGGAGAGTACACGATGGAGATGAATGGACAGGGCGAAACGGTGATCGTCACAGAAACAAACAATGTGAGTGGAGCTGGCGGGTCCATCGAGGTCCAGGGCGAGTCACTGTCTACCACCGCAGCAACCATCGAACCTCTCGGTGGCGCTGTCATTTCGGGCGCTCCCGGTGGACTCCCGGTCACCACTCAGCAAGGGGGAGAAGCTGCGGGAGCTATCACCTCTGGAGCCGTAAGTGTTGAATGGGTCGCCTCACAAACAGGTCTGGGAGAACAGCCTGCTGTTACAGGAATTTATGAAGGAGGAGAGGTCACAGTTCCCTCTGGTGAGCAGGCCATCGCTGGGATGCTCACTGGAGCAACTGGAGGCGGAGAGTTTGTGACTGTAATAACTGGTCAGAATGGTATCTCTGCAGAGACTGAGGTCGCAGTCGAGGCGGAGGTCTCCGGCGGGGGCGAGGTCGAGTCTGGGACCGAGGCTGGAACTGACACGAGCTCGGGCAGCGGCGGCGTGGGCGTCACTGTCCCACAGCTGGGTGGCCTGCTCGGCGCGGCAGCCGGGTCCACCTACCCGGCCAGCACGGACGCCTACAGGTCTGGATACCGCGCTGCCTCTGGCGCACTGCCTGGCGGACACAGGCCGGCAGGACCTCGGCAGCCACAGACCTCCTACGGACCGCCAGCATCTCACAGCTCTGGATACCGCGCTCCCTCTGGCGCACCGACTGGCGGACCCAGGCCGGCAGGACCTCGGCAGCCACAGACCTCCTATGGACCGCCAGCATCTCGGCCTGGGTATGCACCGTCTCCACAGCCCAGGCCAGCGCCTGGCCCACCCAGGCTGGAAAAGCCGAACCTCACCGTGGGACGCCGCGTACCACCCAAAGCCGGTCATTTAGCGCCGCCGCGCGGACCGAAGTCGGCGTACCGACAGCCCCATCCACTCAAAACTGGGTATGGACCGCCACCACTCAACTACGAACCGCCACCGCCACCAGTCAACTACGGACCGCCACCGCCACCCATACTGAAATATGGACCACCGCCAACACCCAAACCGAAGTATGGACCACCACCAACACCCAAACTGAAATACGGACCACCACCAACACCCAAACTGAAATATGCACCACCACCAACACCTAAACTGAAGTATGGACCACCACCAACACCCAAACTGAAATATGGGGCACCACCAACACCCAAACTGAAATACGGACCACCACCAACACCCAATCTGAAATATGCACCACCACCAACACCTAAACTGACGTATGGACCACCACCAACACCCAAACTGAAATATGGAGCACCGCCAACACCCAAACTGAAATACGGACCACCACCAACACCCAAACTAAAATACGGACCACCACCAACACCTAAACTGAAGTATGGACCACCACCAACACCCAAACTGAAATATGGAGCACCGCCAACACCCAAACTGAAATATGGATCACCACCAACACCCAAACTAAAATACGGACCACCACCAACACCTAAACTGAAGTATGGACCACCACCAACACCCAAACTGAAATATGAAGCACCGCCAACACCCAAACTGAAATACGGACCACCACCAACACCCAAACTGAAATATGGACCACCACCAACACCTAAACTGAAGTATGGACCACCACCAACACCCAAACTAAAATACGGACCACCACCAACCCCCAAACTGAAATATGGACCACCACCTACACCTAAACCGAAGTATGGACCACCACCAACACCCAAACTGAAATATGGTCCACCGCCAACACCAAAACTGAAATATGGTCCGCCACCGACACCGACACTGAAATACGGACCGCCAACAACACCCAGACTGAAATATGGAGCACCACCAACACCGACAGTGAAATATGGACCACCACCAACACCGACACTGAAATATGGACCGCCACCAACACCGACACTGAAATATGGACCACCGGCACCTCTCACAATCGATTATAAGCCGCCACCTCGAAGGCCTGAGCCAGCGCATCGGCCTCCTCTAATACCGAAAGTCCCACCCAGGCCAAAGTATGGCCCGCCGTCTCCTCCACGCCCCAACCTGAGCAAACCTGCACCGCAGCTTGATGGGCCTCCCAAAACGCATCTGCCACGTCCCGTTCCGGGGATAGCTGAACGGCCGCATCGCCCTGAGTCCCCGGGTTTCAAGCCTAGATACCCAGCGCCCAGACCTGGATCCCATTATGGAGCCCCTCCCACCGTAAAGGTGGCGAGACCCGGGTACCCAGCGCCCAGACCTGGATCCCATTATGGGGCACCTCCCACCGTAAAGGTGGCGAGACCCGGGTACCCAGCGCCCAGACCTGGATCCCATTATGGGGCACCTCCCACCGTAAAGGTGACGAGACCCGGGTACCCAGCGCCCAGACCTGGATCCCATTATGGGGCACCTCCCACCGTAAAGGTGGCGAGACCCGGGTACCCAGCGCCCAGACCTGGATCCCATTATGGGGCACCTCCCACCGTAAAGGTGACGAGACCCGGGTACCCAGCGCCCAGACCTGGATCCCATTATGGGGCACCTCCCACCGTAAAGGTGGCGAGACCCGGGTACCCAGCGCCCAGACCTGGATCTCATTACGGTTAACCAACCACGAGGAGGTCATGGCCGGGTTGCACCCTCCAGCCATAGCCCACCATTATGGGAAACTGATGGCCAACGACCTGTGCGCATTTGATGTTCCGACGTGTTCGGGCAATGCTGTGCCAGTGGTCGCTGGTCTGTACCGGTGACCAACAGGTCTGGACCTGGTCCGTCAGCCGCTCCTGTGGTCTTGACCTGGTCTCCGTCAGAGCAGGCCGTGTTGGTCACGTCGGGTCTCTCACGGACGGGGTTGCCGTGCCTCCAAGGACGGGGTTGTTCGTGTCTCCACAATGCCCGTACGGCATGCTTTTGAACGGCTTGTCCTCTGTTTTGACGGCGAGGTTGTGGATGCTGAGTGTTCTAAACCGAGACGAGATGCATTTTGGAGGATTTCAATAATCATTTCCGTCTACGCACGGCATGTGTGCCGAACTTAATACTCGTGGATTTTGCCCTTAAGCATTCTGTATTGTGCTGATTATGTACATTACTACGCAGCCTTGTGATTATGGATCGTCCGGTAAGTACACGATTCGTGTTTGCGAGTGCAAAACGGATTTTCACACAATAACCGTAGCCCTAATAATTTATCTTGGAACACTGTACTTCACCGTACTATGCTGTATATTTCGCTGTACTAAATACGCATTATCATTCGCAGGATCGGTGGTGTTAATAAACATACTATGTAGCCAACACTACTTTTTTATCTTTTAAAGAACAATGCTACAACAGACGCCAATAATTTGTGGAACTCGTGGTCTGCAAAACGACTAGTTCCAGTTGGGAATGGCCGCTAGGCTCCAACTTCCAGGCGTTTTTCAGTGTTCGCCCCATGACTACACCCACGGGAAGCGGGCCCGGCTGCATCGAACCCTCCCCCCCCCCCTCCGGGCGAGTAGACCACGCGCTCTCGAGCAGACGAAATCATACAGCAGTACAAGTTACAATCAATATATTTCATCGCATGGAATAAATAGTTACAGGCGGGTTGCTCATACAACATCTATAGGTACTGACTAGAATGTCTAATAAAAAATCGGCACCCCATCAAGGCCACCTCGCCATGTCGGTCTTAAAAACCTGAAAATCTGACCGCTCACGAAGTGAAAACCGCGCTAGCAGCAAACCTCACTGGCTGCTGTGACCTCGTCAACACATATTACCCTCACTAGAGGATCGCAGCCGGAGCGCTCCAACGCCTCTAACGCCAGTGCAGCGCCCAACTCGTGCTGCTGCGGCCATTCGGTAACAGGCGTCCTTGCCTCCCATTCGTGACGCGCGCGGAACGCAGCCAACACGCGCGACCGAGCACCGCCCCAGCCCCAGCGATGGGCGGGCTCCACTGAGGCGTGCGGCCAGCCACGGCCCGGCGGGGCGCAGCACCACGGCCGGCACAGCAGTAGACGCCTGCCGCCCTCGGCCGCCGACCGCCACTGTCACAGACCACGCCACTGGACGCGGCGCGCGGGTCACTGCAGTGCCATCCTCCCGGAGAACCCGTCTGACTCCCTCGCAGCATCCTCCGCACCGTAGCTGCTGCTCAGGAGGAGCTGGCTCGTACGATTTGTACGGGGCTCGTCCAGGGTTCGGCAGACGCTCGTTCAGGGCTTGCTAGGCTCGTCCAGACCTGGGTGGGGTCCCGTCCAGAGCTAAGCCGCGGCACTTCTGCAGCTTGGCAGGCTCGTCCAGACCTGGGTGGGGTCCCGTCCAGAGCTAAGCCGCGGCACTTCTGCAGCTCGGCGTCCACAATTTGCGTCCAAGGGCTCGTCCGGACCCGTCCCGGGGCCCGCTCGGAACTCGTTTCGGAGCCCGCCCAAGACTCGTTCGTGCTCGTTCTGGGGTTCTCCTGGATCTGGTCCGGTTCGTTTTGGGGCTCGTCGGAACGAGACCGGCGCCCAGTCAGCACTGCGACTCGCCGCTCGAGTTGAGCTTGTTCTCCCGGCTGGTGACGCCGGCCTCCAGCATCTTGTTCCGCTTGTACATCTCCATGTAGTTGAGCTGCAGCTGCTTCTGGTAGTTCACAACCTGCTCGGCACAGCAGCCACCGTCAGTTGTGATGGGTGCTGGGCACAGCAGCCACCGTCATTTGTGCCGAGCGCGTCAAGTCATTATTGAAGGGTTTTATGATAAAACGGTGTGAATATTACACATGCACAGACGCTAACAGACCAAGCCATGTCGGAAGCTTCCTGAACACATCAACACAGCCGTTGTCAGCAATACTACGAGGAAATCTGTGATCGTACGTGACGCTGGGCAGGCAAATCAACCAGACTCCAAAAGCCTGCATTTGTACCAGGAGCTCCTTACGATCCAACAGCTGACGGTTCGCAACGACGGCCGCGCGTGCGCGTTACTCACCTTCTGCTTCTCGTCGAGCCAGTGCAGCCGCTCCTCCTCGAATGCCTCCTTCTGTGCTTGCGCCTGCGCACGACACGTGCTGAGCTCGGCGCGCAGCCGGTCCATCTCTCGCCGCAGCTGCGCCATGACTGCCCCCGTCTCGTCCGAGCGTGGCTCCGTCACCTGCCGACCGCAGCGCGGCTCATCCTCTCATCCACGCTGCCTCCCGTGGCCGGGGGCGGTGGTCACCTGCTGCTGCTGATAGGTCACCGTGGGAGGGGCTGGCCAGTGAATGGCATTCACGGCACGGTAACGGGAAACGCCAGATGATATGGGTCGCCTTCTGTGTTAGTAGATGCTTGGTGGTCTCATTCATCGTTCGGATTGGTGCATCCCAATCGGTGTCTAAGGATGGGGAATCTCAATCGGGTTAATGGTCAACAATAAGAGGTCATATGTCGACAGTCATCATTCATTGGCTGCGATGAGCGTTCGGTACAACAGGCAAGGTGACCGAAAATGGGTAGTGATTAGCAACTGTAATCTTCAGTTGATGATATTCAAAGCCATCGACAGAAATGGTGGCGTGGGCGACGCTGGCCTGACCCCGCACCTGGCTGCGCAGAGCGGCCGCCTCCAGCTGCAGCCGCTGGTTCTCGGACCGCTTGGCGTCCAGCTGGCTGGCGTACTCCCGAACCTGCGAGCGGATGTGCAGCATCTGATGGCCACGGCTCGCCTGGTGGCCCTGGCTCTCCTTCAGCTGCGCCTTCAGCAGCGATATCTCGCCTGCGGCACGGACCGGCTGGGTCAGACGCTCGGGCTTACTGGTGGCGTGCCTGCTCATGCGCTCTGACACGACACCTGCTGACACTCTCTGACACGACACTTGCTGACACTCTCTGACACGACGCCTGCTGACGCTCTCTGACACGACACCTGCTGACGTTCTCTGACATGACAGCTGCTGACACCCTCTGACGCGATACCTTCTGACACTCCCTGACATGACACCTGCTGAAACCCTCTGACACGATACCTGCTGACACTCTCTGACACGACACCTGCTGACGCTCTCTGGCATGACAACTGCTGACACCCTCTGGCACGACACCTGCTGACGCTCTCCGACATGACACCTGATGACACCCTCTGACACGATACCTTCCGACACTCCCTGACATGACACCTGCTGACACTCTCTGGCAAGACACCTGCTGACACCCTCTGACACGATACCTGCTGACACTCTGACACGACACCTGCTGACGCTCTCTGGCACGACACCTGCTGACACCCTCTGACACGACACCTGCTGACACGCCTGGCCAGCCGGATTCTGCATTTGTCCATCGCAGGTTTGCAGTGCTGCAAAGCACGCCCCAGGCCTCAGCATTGATGAGTCGTGTGGCTTGGATTGTTTCATGAAGACAAGGGTTTTAATACCTGGCACTACCCACCTGCCACCACTGCCTGGTTTTCGCAGCAGTCTTGGTATCATCTTCATCGTGTCTTTATGAAGTGGTAACTGAGCTATTCAGAGGCGGCATATCAGCGTCATTAGCAACGTGAGCTGATGCAACACCGCTAGTATTGGCGTAAGCCGACGATGGTTGTCATAGATCGCACGTCCTCCAGCCCAGTCGTCACGAAACTCAGAGATCGTCACAGACGCCAGTAACGCTCTGCGGCGGCCGAGCGGCCGTCGTGCCCGAGGACTGACCTGTCTTCTGGCAGAGGCCCCACTCAGTGTCCTCCAGCTGGGCTCGCAGGGAGGTCAGCTCCTGCCGCAGCCCGTCCCCCTGCCGGGCCAGCTGCTCCTTCTCCCGGCGCGTCTCCTCCAGCTCCTGACTCAGCTTGCGCTTCTCCTGCTGCAGCTGTACACGGCGATAGCGTCAGGAGGTCGCACAGACCCCACAGTCCGACTGAAGGGAAAACGGTAGACGGACCACTAGAGGCTTGCTGAGGCCAGGACTTCCTGATTGGTGTGTTGGTCTCGGTCGGCTCCTGGCAAACGGCAAGGGAACCTATATTGCAGAAGTGAATGGCAGAAGAACCTATTGTGATATGATCTTCCACATTTCCAACTGAATTTGATGAGATGCGTGGTGCATACCTGGTACGTCTGAGTGGTCAGCATCTGCTCCATCTTGAGTGCCCTCTGCTGGCTGGCCTTGAGTCGGTTATCGTAGATCGCCTGGATCTTTCGTAGCTCTTTCTCCCAAGTCTTCTCCTTCTCGTCGTATACCTGAAACATCGTCTGGGAGCATGACCATACGTCCCTAATCCGCCATCATAATGGGGAAACGGGCAGCCCATTACCCAGAAGCATGCGCGGAAACACAGGCGTTGTGCCAAAGGATCCAAAGGTGCTTCCACATGAAGGTGACAGGGATCCCGGGCGGGATTAAAAGGTCCTCACTGCTTTTGGGATTTCATGCATAAAAATGGCTAGCGAAATGATAGCGTGCGAGAAATAGCACAGGGCCTACCGTGCGCACAATATGCGGAGCGTCGCACCGACACGACATGCCCAATCATAGCGTTTGTGAGCCGGCTGCTATGAACAGCACCTCATCATTCTTACTTCGGCAAAACGCGCCACGTAGTCACATATTCATTCGCATCCACGCACGGGCGCCTCAAAACGGCGTTCGCTGACTCGGCCCCAGTCGCGCGCGGCCAGAACGACCGGAAGCTGACCGGAAGCTGACCGGAAGCGGACCCGAAGACGGCGTCCGGCGACCTCCGACGACCGGAAGCTGACCTGCTCATGCTGAGCCACGGACTGTCGGAGCAGGTGGAGCTCCGAGTCGCGCTCCTTGATGGCCGCCTCGAGTTCCACCACGCCCGAGTCGGCCGGACTCGGCGTCGAATGCAGGCTGGCCGGGCTGCGCCGCGGCCGCGCCAGCGCCGCCTCGGCCGCCGCCAGATTCGAGACGCTGCCGCCGATGCGCGCGCCGCCACCACCGCCGCCGCCGCCGCCGCCGCCGCCGCCGCCGCCGCCGGTGCCGACGCCGGCCAGACTGCGTAGCGAGTCGTGACGCGCCAGACCCTGGCGGCGCGAGTCGCCGCGGCCGCTGAACGACTCGCGGCGCGACTCGACGGGGCGCACGGCCGCTCGGTACGCCCGGTACTCATCGAGGAGCGAGCCGGCAGGCTCGGCGCCCGCCGCCCGCAGACTGTCCAGGCTCTCATACCGCGAGCGGGCCATGCTCGAGGCAGAGCGCCGGTCGCCGGCCGGGGCCGTGCTGCCGTATTTGAGCTCCAGCGCGCCTGGCGGCCGGGGGAGGGGAGGGGGTCAGACGTCTGGTCTGCCTCTCAGGTGGATGCCGTGCGGTACGCTACGTCGATGTGTAAAACAGCACGGCGCACGTGGAAGCGTGGCTGACTTCCGGTATCACTGGTCACAATAATTTGGGCAGGAAAACACAAGGCTCACCATAAAAACGCTAATAACTTGTCCTGATACATACGGAGGTCATTATCAAAGTTTTTAAGCCCAGCCACAGACCGTCCATCACAATTTTATCACTGCTTGAACTGATGATTCTCACAAAGTCAAACATTGCACCAGATCAATGCCGTCATCCCTTTCCGGGGCAGCTAAACGAATTCGACACATACGTGGAGATTGCCTGAAACTGATATAGCTGCAGCCGCGTTCACAAGCGTTTGGGACCGCCTCCGAAAGCCGGCTGCGCCATCGGTAGGCGCCGGTCGGGCCTCCAGAGCCGATACTCACTGCCGTAGTGGGGCGCGCGCCGGCCGGCGGCGCGCTCCACACTCTCGAACATGTTGGGTGTGGCTGACGGTGTGGCGCATGGCGTGTGAGTCGGCGTCGGCCGACACGCCACCGGCCGGATCACTGGACCCTGCAACACGGCCGCCGCCGTCACTGTCGGTACCACGCATCAGCGGCAAGTGCTGGGCTCTGTGTCACGGATCAGCGGCCAGCGCTGGGTCTGTATCACGGATCAGCGGCCGGTGTCGGGTCACTGCTCAGTGTAGGGTCTGTGTTCGGTGTTGGGCCTGTTGCGCGGGTCTCCGCGGTCTGCGTCACGGGTCTGCAGCACGGCTCAGCGGTCAGTGCCGAGGTCTGCATGGCCGGGCCAGCGCTGGGCTCTGTAACAGTGTCAAGGTTGATGCCGACCGCGTGTAACACGGTAGCGGACTCGTTGGTTTTTACAAAATATTTAAGTTCAGACAGCCTGCTTTCACCCAAGGAGCGCATTCCATAAGATGCAGCGCGACAAGGAAAAATGAGCACAGATCACAGCTCAGATCACCGTACAGGTCACTCCGCTGCGGGCACGGTGTCTCTCTAAAACGACCACTCGTAACCCAGGGAACGCCCCGACAAAGTCACTGCGCAGGAGACCCCGAAAACCGCACGCATCCAATCATGGGACGTAAGGGGCGTACCCATGGCCCGCCCGCGGAGCGTGACCCATCCGCAAAACATGGCAAAGCCCATGGAACATGACACACCCGCGGAGTATGGCCGACTCGCGAAACATGGCCAATCCATTGAGCAAGGCCCATCCGTTGGACATAAGCCACCCGCGGCCATTGTTGAGGGATGGATATATGAGAACACCCCCCCCCCCCCCTCCCCTCCGGTCAGCATACAGCTACATTGTCTAAGCACAGCAAGATACATACAACTGCCGTGTGATGTTTCATTCAGTGCTTCATATGCCCTTCTCTACGATGACTTCTCGCAGACAAAACATCAACCATTAAAGGGGAGCCCTGCTGCCCCGCCCCCAGCCAAAAGTTGGGAAGAGGATCGATCAGACACGAGGTTTCTTAACGGCAACGGGTAACGGCTTTCTTCACATTGCAACGCCAAAGTAGTGATGTCAAATTCTGCCAAAAAAATGGGGAAAATATATCACCTCCCCCTCTCCCTGTGAGGGACCATAGCTGCATCAAAGAGACAGATGAAGCAAACCGACCGAAGTTTTATAATTTTCTACTAGGTTTTATAAATGAGATCTTAATAAGCTTTAATAATTGCAAGGATTTGAATGATATCGTTTGACCTTGAGGCGCTGCTCGTGACTATCACTGAGCCGAGCATATCCCCACTTCCCACGCGAACCAAAGTGAGGAAATCAAAACATATCTCTAAGTGTGTCTCGAACCATCGAAACGCAATCATGAAACAAACTCCTCAATCCCAGACCCTGCGTCAAGCAGACGCCTGACAAAATCCGCCGCTGGACGAACTGATTCCCAGGTGCTTCCGGCCCCACGCGAGCAGCCGCGACTTCCGCTCATGGCCGCGGTGGGGCACGGAACGCGGCGATCGATTTCCCAGCCCTAAATCGATTTCAGTCGACGCTCATGGTACCGAGCCGACCGTGACAGGGTTGTTGAAGCCTGATTGGAGACAGCAGCAAATCATGCCCGATTTCCGGCAGAGAAAGGCGGCTTGTTCTCACTTGACGGGCGCTTAATAGCGTTACACTTTTACGAGCGCGCCCATCCCACGGATTTCCGTTCATCAGCCAATAGCGAAATGATGAAAACATACAACAAACTAGCGGAGGTTAGACGGTGCGTGACGTAGCTGGTTTCCACCAGTGCGGAGGCGGTGGAGCGAGCGTAGCTGAACCAAATCCCGCCAATGGCAGGCGGTCATGAAATGCAAATATGAAAACAAAAACAAAAATAAAAAACATCAAGTGGTGGATGAATAACGGTTGGTGATGCCATCAGAATATCACTGTGGCCGATAATGTCATACAAACTTTGAAATGCCATATCAGTTAATTCAAGATACATGGCCGAGGCTACTGAGGGACTAGCGGTAATACCATAGTCATTTTGCCGAAACGGGCTCTTACCCCCCTCCCCCCCCCCCTTAACACCAGTCAAAGGCTCGTTTCCGGCCTCTTTTTACCGTTTAAAAGACTACTACGGCTCAGATAAATATCACTCGGACTCTGACTTCTCCACCTTTAGGATCCGTGACTACGTCGATACCAATGGAACATAATGGGGCCACACACACGCCACTGCAAACAATCAACAAACCTCGATGTCTTCCTAAAAATAATATAAAACAATTGGAACAAACAAAAAGCACCGATGGGACTATCGACCTGGTATTGACCAGAGAACACTACTTTAAGGCCCATCTTGCTGATATCAACCCGACGTCACTTAGCATTTGGTTCGGGACCAGAAAACTGAAAGGTCGTCTCACGTACGAAAGATGAAAGAACGCTTGATCTCACGGTCAACCCTCGAACCGAGCGGGCACGAATATTTCTGATCCAAGTCCGCATCTCACAATGCATGATTACCTACCCCCTGTTTATCGTGGTTTGTCTTGTTACCAATGTCAAAGCAAGACATCGCTCTCCTCATGGTGTCTTGCTCTTCTTGATTTGACCAGTATACCAAAGCTCAGGGCTTACAATCCGATGGGCTTAGGGCTTAGGTGGGAAATCCAGGGCTTAGAACCCTTGACGGTTCTGCACAAGTGCTGTTGTCGAATGCCAGACCGTCACCGACTTCAACATCGGCCCACTAGCACCATTTGTCTACACGCTGCTTGCGTTTCAGCAATGACCCCGGATCTATATTACTCCTGCGTTGCTAGGTTGATATATATTCCCCGATCCAGCTTCACCTTCACGGCGCTCATAGCCCCGCAGCTGGCAGTGCCCTTATGGTCGACCGACTGCTGACACGGCTCCACACATGCGCTGCACTCCTCACGCGTCGCACGCCTTTACCGGCGCGCCTCACCAGCCCGGGGCCGTTCGCACCCCGAAGCCCCGCAGCACTCCGGCCCGCAGGGCACCGTCACTGCACTCCGGCCCGCACTGCACTCCGGCCCGCAGGGCACCGTCACTGCACTCCGGCCCGCAGGACACCGTCACTGCACTCCGGCCCGCAGGGCACCGTCACTGCACTCCGGCCCGCAGGGCACCGTCACTGCACTCCGGCCCGCAGGACACCGTCACTGCACTCCGGCCCGCAGGGCACCGTCACTGCACTCCGGCCCGCAGGGCACCGTCACTGCACTCCGGCCCGCAGGACACCGTCACTGCACTCCGGCCCGCAGGACACCGTCACTGCACTCCGGCCCGCAGGACACCGTCACTGCACTCCGGCCCGCAGGGTGCCGTCACTGCACTCCGGCCCGCAGGGTGCCGTCACTGCACTCCGGCCCGCAGGGCACCGTCACTGCACTCCGGCCCGCAGGGTGCCGTCACTGCACTCCGGCCCGCAGGGTGCCGTCACAGCACTCTGGCCCGCGCGGCGCCGGTAAGCGCTGGCGGCCACACCCTCCCTGGCGCCGCGGCCCCGCCCGCCGGTGTAACGCTTCAGCCGCCGCACACGCCACACGTGCGACGTCCACCCCGCCGCCGCCGCTGCCGCCGCCGCTGGCGACAGCCGCGACTCTCCCGCTCTGCGCACCGGGACGGCCGCGCCGCAGCCGGGTCGCAGCCGGGTCCGCCCACGCGCCGCACCGTCACGGCCCGGTCCTCCACGCCAGGCGCCGCCGAGCCGCCGCCGCCGCCGCCGCCGTCGTCACGAGTCGGGTGCGGCCGCGACGCGCGCGCCTCGCTGGTGCGCGCCGAGCGGCCGCCCTGCCTTGTTTAGAGTGCACGACTCCGGCGGCGGAGGCCGTGGACAATAGCCGGACGTCGTCCCCCTCCCCCCCCCCCCCCATCCCCGCCCCCGCCGGCCCTTGGCGGGGTTCTCTGGTCCCGGATGCCAGTAAGAAGGAGGATGACACGCAGATCAAGCGGGGGCGTTGGAGGGGGGGGGGGGGGGGCGAGGGAGGCCTGCCACAGGCATCCGGCTTCCGGTCAACGCCCCGTCAGGAAAGCACGTAGATAGCCTATGCGTTTGCGCAAAAAGCTATTGCGGAACAAAAACATGTGGGCGCGTTAGTTTGGAATGCAGTTTTGACAGGCCTCTGGCCCCATGTGATATGATTTGAAATCGCCGGAGGCAGGGACTTCCATTAAAGCTGAAGGTGATTTTAAGCAAAAGCAGATACTTCTGGACAAGTTTTCGGCGAGTAGATTCGCCGATTTCGACAACTGAACCGACATACTGGCATCCAATATTCGGATAAGGGCACACTAAGCCTCTTTGGATAAAATACTGTTGCAGCATTGATCAAATTTAGGAACGCTCCCACCCTATTTAAACTCATTTAGATCGTGTACTGATGGGTAGTAATTTGAGTGTTCGCAGGTAAGTGGACAAGATAGTATTTTGTCTCGTACTTTCAGTCTGCAGCACAATTTTCTCTGCTCACCCCGTTGGCTTTGATCAATTACAGATATTGTTCAGTTGCACGTTTTCACGCACAGAAATGCTGCAAGCCAACCCACAACACAGAAGCAATGTAGCCATTCCTGCATGCCAGATAGACATACGGAGATGGCTTCAATGCACCATTCACACGCGCCATGCCACAAACAATGCCCATGAACCACACTGGACATTGCGTAGCGTAAAATATCTCCTTGATACGTGGCTTCCAACTGTCGAGCTCCCAGATTTTACTCGAAAGCATGGGGGTACAATTATGCGCAGGACGAGGGGCGTGCTGAGGTAGTGGAATAGTTTAACTGGAAAGAGGGATGAAGTAATAAGCTTTTTTAAGGCAACACCCACACGAAAACCGAAACGATTCTTAGGATCGACAAACCAAGAGAAATTTAGATGGCTCCTAGTCTATCACAGTGGGTCCCCGATAATGAAGCCATGTTGCATGCAACGTTGTGGCCGGTCCTTGCTCCGTTTGTTGCTACTTATGTTGGATGGATGGGTGGCAAGGCATGAGGACGTTTCAGCTACGGGACTAGAACCCGACAATCTCGCCATTCACCGGGTC